CACAGGGAAACACCGGCCCACGACCCACAGTCCACTATGTATGGGGACCCCCTCCACCAAGTCTTGTGCTTCTACTAAATACTTTACGCGCAAAATTACTTAAACATCTAAAGGTCCGATCCGGAGTCATGCCCCGTTAGTAAGAAACCAGTACTTTAACCGAAGCGAAAGTCTGGCCGGTACAGTACGAACGTTGCGTGACGACGTCGCCCTTGCTTTGCCACTGTTCGTCCACCTTGTCCGACGGAGTGCCTTGTACCGCCTAATATCCCAATCTTCCAGATCAGAAGGGCTAAGCCAGCCCTCATCCTCAGACAGCAAATCGTGCTTCATCTTATACAGAATAGCCCTACTTCTCACTTTCAGGTTAAGCGGCACGGCGCCATGCAGCACCTGCAGTGCATCAGTGGACACACACAGCAAACAAACTAGCATGACGACCCTCTGACAGGACAGGAGCTTTTTCGGACCCAACACAGACGAACCGGTTTTGTACCACACAGGAGCCCCATAAGTTGCGTAAGCAACAAAAAGTCCACCATATATGACAGGCACAGAACGCTCAGTCCCCAATCAGTCCGCAAAACACGCCTGACCATTCCCACCATTCTAGTTAGCTTCTCCTTAATATGTGTGTGTTCCAAGTGATTAAGTCTATCCTTTATATGAATGCCTAGGTACATAATCGTACTTGCGTACATTATGCCACGTTCACCAGCTCGTATAAACGGAGGTCGACTATGAGCAAGTCTGCCTTTTAGCATCATCATGTCTTGTCATTCGCAACCTCAACGGCAACTCGATCACTCCACGCTTGAAGTATACGCATAGCCTGCTCAGCTCGAGGCAGGTCACACCTTCAACCATAATGAGAGGATCATCTGCGTAGGAACAAACCTTGAAGGATGCCGAGATTTCACGTAACAGATGATCCACCATGAGATTCCAAATAAATGGGCACAGATGAACCCCTGAGGGCAACCACGTTGGATATTCTACCAGACCGAATCACTGGATCCCATGACACAAGTCTTTCTTTCATGAAAGAAACTAGATCAAAGACTTATTTCCTGGCTATTCCATGAAAGGAAGTCAAATGCACCTTTGAAGTCGACAAAAATGCCAACGACATAATTGGCATTTGACCCACTCAGGGTATTCTGCACATGCATCCACGCGTTCACAGTACATAGTACATCTACCCTCGGTAAAATCGAATTGATGCGCGATGTACCTTCGGAGTAGCACTCCCTAAGCATATCATAATCCCCTCCTGTACTTTTCCAAGGACTGGAAGAAGACAAATGCCCCGATACGGGCAAGGATCACTCCTTACTCTATCTGGCGACTTAAGTAGCACCATCACTCTAGCACTTATCCTTGCTTGGAATTCATGGAATCTAAAAAATTGCTTGAAAATTGAAATTTTGATCCATTATAAGAATAGCTTGTTCGCCTCATAAGAACTCATTAATGGAAGCCTTTAGAAAATTCTACAAGTCCATAAAAACTGTTTAATAAAGTCCCTTAGCATTACAAACTACGGCTTTCTAAAGCAGATAGGGGAAAATGTTCACAATGAGAAGGAACTATTACTCATTACATATCCATGTTGGGCGCCACTTCTTAAAAAAATTATTGTAATACTTAATAAAGAACTAACTGAAAGTACGTATACGAAAGAAGTTTAGCTGCAATAAAACTTTTGCAAATTTAATTTATATATTATAATTCCCATTACCGCCTTATGCTCCTTTCCCTACAGAAAAGCAAGTGCTTCCATTATTTTCCAAATTTTCCCATAAATGGTCCAAAATGTTTGCTAATGGACCACATAATTACACTTTGAATGTGCATTTCTGAAGCAAATCTATTTCACTTGTTATCGACTCAATTTAAATACAAAATCTCGTCGATACTTTTTTATTTGAAAACAACACTCACACAATTTGTTTCAACAACAACAAAAAGTCAGCTACCCAGTCAGACAGCCAGCCAGCAAGTCATCCAACCGAACAGCCCAACAACCATCCAACTGGGAAAGGTAATTAGTTTTGACATGTTTTTGCTGCCATTCGAATGTTAAGAGCGTCACAGAGCGAAGCACTGCAGAGTTGATATTCTGTTTAAATGTTGCCATATTTCATGAATACGAAAGTCATTTAAATTTAAATTAAAAGACATTAACAACAAAACCTGAATCACGAAAGCAAGCAAAAAAGGATATGTTGTTGGTGTTTTATTTTTGTTGAAAGAGAAATAAACAACAACATTTTTGAAAAACTAGTTCAATTTAATGGAAATATTTTCCATTAGGTCTAGGTGTGAGCAGGAACGTGGTTTGGGGGCATAGGGAATTATTGGAGATAAGAGGATTATTGGAGATAAGTCCTTGTTCTAGTTAGGACTACGAATTTTAACTTAAGAGAAGACCACCACCATCAAGACCAAGATTATAAGGTCCTATTTTTTGCTGGACCTCTCGATATTCGTATATAGAAGATCACGAGTACCCTTTTCCATGACGGAAAACTTCATGTTTTTCTGTGAAGAAAGAACTTGTGACATTTAATCAAAAAAGACTTCATGGTCTTCAGAGAAAGAATATCATAATATTTTTTCTTATAGAAGAAGACCCTATGGTATTTCTCAATAGGACTTCTCTCATTTAAGGAACAGAAGAAACCTAAGGATTTTTTTTATAGAAGACCGAGTCAACGCCTTTCAAAGATTAACCTAAGGTCTACTTTCTTAAAAGAACACACTAAGGTCTTCTTTTTTTAAAGAAAGTCATGGTGTTCTATTCCAAAAACTACTATGAGTTCTTTATTCTGGCATTATCCTCGGGTCTCTTTATACCCTACACCATATAGTGGTAAGGGTATTATGTATTTGTGCATTTGTTTGCAACATGAAAAAGGAAGCGAGATAGACTCATTGTTACTTCTGAGGATCTTCATAGAATCACTTTCTGAGTTGTTTGTCCGCCCATGTATTTTTGTGAACAAAATGCAGTTCGCATTTATTATCCGCTTGAGATAATCGGTTCAGACATAGCTATAGCTCTCATATATGTTTCATCCGATTCGGTGTTAAAGTCCCTCACATGTGTAATATGCACTTCACGACAATAATCTTTGGTATCAGATATCAGGTACAGCTCAGAAATGAGTTCTCAAAATTTTGTCAAAATCGGTTCAGATTTGGATGTAGCTCCCATATATATACTCATCCGATTTCAGGCTTTTCGTGCACCAAATGGCTAATAGCAGCCCAAAGGGACTGAATTTTGACACTTTCAAAGGAATTGAGCGAAAAAGCAACTGCTTCAAGTGTTGGTGAAAATCGGTTCATATATAGCTATAGCTCCCATATATGTGTTTCATCCGATTTTGTATTTAATGATATTTGATACCGGACATCAGATACTCCTTGAAAACACCTCTACCAAATTGTATCGAAATCGTTTCAGATTTTTATATATAGCTTCGATATACATCTTCATCCGATTTTACGGTTATTGCACACCATATATGTATAGTTTTGAATAGCTTATATTTTATATTCAACCGCGTTTTATCATTCGGTGAAACTCGGTCTGGTATATCTATTGCTCCAATATTTTTTTTAATATAATCCTTATCGAAGTCATATTGTGCATTATACCTCTAAATTCATAATATAAACTTTTTTGTTACGTGAGCTCTACAAAATACCCATAGTTGTGTAGGGTATGATATAGTCGACCCCGCCCGACTTTTGATCTTCCCTTACTGGGTTTCATTCAAGATCCTTGGTTTTGCTTTAATAGAAAGTCCTGAGGATTTCATAGGAGATTATGGGGCATTTTTATGAAGAAGAGTCTTAGATTAAGTTTTGTAGTTGAAGTTTAATTGAATATGGCTCTGTGGTCTTATTTTTTGGAAGACCTTGAGGTGGTTTTTGGTGGTATTCCAGTGGGACTTCGCTCATGGTAGACCGTGTGGGCTTCTGTCATAGAAAAGTGTGACATCCCCTTTTATGGAAGTTTTTAAAACCATTAGAGTCCATTTGTATCACATTCTTTCATAGAATGTTTTAAGGTCCCTTTCAATGAAGAAGGGCTTTACATTAAATTTCACAGTAGAAGGCACTGGTGTTCTTGAATTGAATTTGGTCCTGTGGTCTAATTTTCTGGAAGACCTTGAGGTGGTCTTTGGTGGAATTCCAGTGGGGCTTCTATGGTAGACCTTGTAGGCTTTTGTCATAGAAAAGCGCGAGATCTTCTTTTATGGAAGTTTCCAAGGACATGGCCTTGAGTTCTAATATCAAAGAAGACCTTGGGTTGGTCTTTCGTGAAAAACCAGTTGGACTTCCTATATGTGGTAGTCCCTGTGAACTTCTGTCATAGAAAAGTATCAGTTTTTCTTTTATGGAAGTTTTTGAAGTCTTCTGCCATGGAAGAACATAGGTTTTCTTAATAATAAAAGACTTTGCTTTATAGAAGGGCATGGGGTATTTCTCAGAGAATACCAATGTCATGTCCTTTTTCACATATCTTTTTTCCCTTAATTGAAACCTTGAAAGAACCTCTAAAAACCCAAAATGTATTTCTGCCTACGCCATTGCCTGATAGACTGAAGGATTGCCATTATTGGGAGAGGGGGGAAGTTTCTTTTGCCTCTTGTCATGCAAAAGGCCTCATGTTGCAAAAATCAAACAATCGTCATACGAACAAACACACGAACAGCTTAAATGATCTTAAAATTTTCAGAGCTGTTGGCAATCAAAGCTGTGGCATGTTCATAAAATATTGCCATCGTCACCACCACCACCGTCGATTGTGGCTAGAGGTTTAAGGCTTTACTCTACCCTGGTGATATTTTCAAGTAGTTGCTTTGTCATTAATCAGTTTTAATGTCAGTTTTAAAAATAATTTATAATGCAGCAGAGAAGCAGAAATAAACTGCACCACAAGGAGATCAAGTTTTTGGTGTTTTGAAATTTTAAGCTTTACTTACATTTTCACAGGATGTCCTACATGAGCCGAATACTTCGTTACAGCAATTGTAGAAATCTGAAAAAAAAAACAAGAAACAGGAAATGTTAACACAAAAATTGCTTAGCCTTAAAGAAAGTTTGGTTGTAGTTGTCTTTTAGCATAAAAATATAAAAACTGAAAAAAATAACAAAACTCTGGTTGTGCCGAAAAATTTGTTAAATGTGACAGTAATGACTTCATTAGCCGGCCATGCAGCCGAGAAGCCGCCATACACACGATGCTGGCAGCCCCTGGTTCGGTTGCTCTGGATGCTGTGTGTTGCCATTAGTTCTTTATTAAAATGTTATTATTCATCATTAAATGTGAAAGCTGTAGACTAGTAAAGAAAATAGAAGAAGGAAAACAAATGAATCTGAATTAAAATGGGACTGGGCGAATTTCAGATACCCTACAATAAAACAAATATTCCATGGCCCACAGAAAATCTCAAGAAAATCCCGATTTTGAGAAACAAAGTTCTAAATGTATTAAAAATAGATCCTCTAAGATAGAGTCACAATCGCAAGGAACATTAAAATCTCCATTCGAAAAAGTAGTCTAAAACGATTGTAAATCTTTAAAAACTTCCCTCCCTCGTCTACCCATCTCCTCAGATAGAATAGCTGTGATTATCTATTTCCTCATTATGGGCCATTGAGTTGGATGTTGTGCGTTCCCTGCAACTTGTCCAACTTGCAATGGTGCGTTGGCATATTATCGCACAACGTACAACAAAAATGTGTTCCCCTCCCTCCCACATACATTTGTTTATAATATCCATGCAATTCTTGCATACATGTTCGTATAGTTGTTGTTGCTGCTGTTATTGTCATCATAGTCATAATAGTTTATTTAACAATTTCCATATAAAGTTCTTGGTACTCTGTGGCACTACATGTGTTTTCTTGCGACATCAAGTGAACTCGAACACACAACACATTTTGCGTATGTGTGTGTGTGAGTGTAAAGAGATTAATGTTGAGACATTAATTTTCATGGGAGACGTACACAATAGTTGGGTATGTTGAATGCCGCAGGGAATTTGGGACCCGGAAAAAGTTCGCAGGACTATAGAAGTAAAACTTTAACACTGCTGGAGGTATGTATTTAATTTTAAAAGAAGAAACAGCTAGGGCCGTTTTTGTTTTTGGAAATTCATACAAAAAATTATTAAAAATTGTCTATTGTGAGATCATTAAACGTTATCTCTCACTCTCTGGTATTTATAACAACTGCTATGTTTGTTATTTACATTCGCTCATTTGTTTGTGAACGTGTTTGATTCCCGACGAGGTGCTATAAATACAAGTGAGTTGAAGGACAGCCATGCGTTTCAGTATTGAATCGCGACTTACAATCGTAGATTATTGAGGAGATAAAGTAAAGTTGTGTGCTAAGGAATGTATGATTCTTAAACAAGTAAAAAAGCGTAAGTTCGGCCGGGCCGAACTTTGAATACCCTCCACCATTTGGAACGAATTAGAAAATATTAAAAAAAAAAAAAAAAAAATAAATAAAATCCATTAAAAATTCTTTTAAAATCTTTAAAATATCTAATATAAGAAGGTGCCGATATGTCGGAATATACGATATTGTGGACCTATAAAGACAAATCTATGTCTGCGTGTAAAGTACTCACAAGGAACTCCTTGTGTGGATTTTCAAAATACCGAATATCGCGGGGTATCGTTATATGGGAGCTATACGTTATCGTTAACCTATATAGAGAATTCTCTGTCGGGGGGTAAAGTGCTAAAATGCTGACCATTCCGTTGAAAAATATGGCTAAAAACATCAAAATACCGAATATCGGGGGTACCGTTATATGAGGGCTATATGATATCGTGGACCTATATAGATAATTCTCTGCCGGAGTATAAAGTACCCACAAGGAACTCCTTGTGTGGATTTTCAGACAATTCCGATGAAAAATGTGGGTAAAATCATAAAAATACCGAATATCGGGGGTACCGTTATATGGGGGATATACAATATCGTGGACCTGTATAGACAATTCTCTCTCAGGGGGTGAAGTACTCACAAGGAACTACTTGTGTGGATTTTCAGACAATTCCATTGAAAAATGTGGCTAAAATCATCAAAATACCGAATATCGGGGGTACAGTTATATGGGGGCTATACGATATCGTGGACCGATATAGCCCATCTTCGAACTTGACCTGCCTGCAGACAAAAGAGAGATCTGTGCAAAATTTTAGCTTCCTATCTTAATTCGTTTAGACTGTAGCGTGATTACAACAGACGGACAGACGGACGGACAGGGATAAATCGTCTTACGAATTTTACGCTGATCAAGAATATATATACTTTGTTGGGTCTAAAATGATTATTTCGATGAGTTACAAACGGAATGACGAACTTAATATACCCTCCATACTTTTTTTGGTGGAGGGTATAATAAAGCGTTGTAAGACTTGTAATCTAAGCGAACTCATATTTTATTTGGTGCAATTTGCGTTAAAAATTTGATTTGTGCAAAAATCTGTCATATTTGGGCTGATTTTACGTATTTGGTGCAATAATAAACTAGAAATCGAACGAGGATATATATGAGAGCTACATGCACGTTTAAACCATAAACCATAAAGTATCGAGGTTCAATTATGATTAAGTTGCATTTAAAATTGCACATGTCAGCGAAATTCTTTGATAATACTGTATAAGTCCCACAAATACCATAAAACGGCGGAACAAGCTGTGGGTGTTATCAAAATCTGAACGTACATAGGCAATTTTCTACAACAGGTATTGATGTCTATTGTGAGTTCCAAGTATCAATTCCGTCAACAATCTGTCTAAAATCATCAAAATACAGAATATGGGGAAGTAGCGCTTTATAGAAGCTATAGAGAAACGTGAATCTATTTGGACAACTATGTGCTACAGTGGTTCCTGTCTATTGCGAGTATCAAACGTCACATTTATAACAATTTCTTTGAAAAAAATCTGAATGCCTGGAGGTATCGTTACTGTGGGGGTTATATAAAAAACATGAATGCATATAGGCAATGTTCTGGAAAATGAGATAGAGTCCATTCATAGGAAAATGTGGACAACTTCGTCAAGATACCAAGTATTTGGAAGCACCATTATATGGACACTATAGGAAAACGTAGATATATAGAGTGAGATTAAAAACTGCAACCAACATAAGATTGCTGTCATTTCTAAGCAACATATAGCGTGATTTCTTTATATTTGGTTGAAAAACCGCAAGTGGCTATGGTTAGAGCACACCAGCATTTAAATGTAAATAAATCTTTTGTGTCTCGTACCATCGCTCGTCACCGTGATACCAGTAGCATAGCCTGAAGTCAAGGAAGTGGACGGTAGAAAATGGTTCGAAATGGTTCAGCAGAAATGGTTCGAAAAGTAAAGAAGCGTCTTGATCGAAACCCGCGTCGCAGTGGCCGAAAAATGGCTCGTAATCTGAACATATCGCAATATTCCATTCAGCAAATATTGAAAAATGACCTCGGGGTAAAGCCATTGAAAATCCAAAAAGTGCAAGAACTTACACAACAAGAGAAAGAAAATATACTCAAAAAGAGTTGCTTCGCTTGGCCGAAAGTGGTGAACTGCCGAATTTGATTTTCTCCGATTAAAAAAACATTCGTTGTCCAGCAGATTGTAAACCAACAAAATGATCGTGTTTACTTGCCAAAGAGGTCAGCTGAAAGTGTGCACCTTCGGTTGGTCACCAGAACTCAAGCGCCGGCCGTGGTGATGGTTGGATACCGCAGAGCAACATTCGGGTAGCGTGTGACGGTTTCATTGGCCGTTTGAAGGCCATAATTCGTGCCAAAGGTTACCAATTCGAACAAATCTAAACATATTCTAAAATTTGATGCTATTTTCGACATTTTTTTAATTCATTCAATAAAATTAAAAAAAAAAAAAATTAAAAATTATGGCGTTTGACCTTGTTTCAGTTTTTTATCTCACCTTCGAGGGAAAAGAGAAATGAAGCATATTCTCTTTTTTAATGTCACTCGAAATTATTGATTGAATTGAGTTAGAATTTTCAAATTTTGCACCAAAGATATCTCGTGCGTAAAGATTAATATTTTGTTTTGGCTTATAAAGCAAAATTTCAATATTTCAAAAGTAGTATTTTTTTCGTTCTTTGGTAAAGTACCAATGTTGTGCTGTACAGCTAAATTTCTTAAATTTGTTTTACGGATACTAAGAAAGATACGAATAGTACTAAAAGCGATGGAATTGGACTAGAATTTTTAAATTACGCACGACGGTTACTTCCTGTATAAACGTTTCGAAAATGACAGTCTGTAAATTAAGTATTCGATCGATTCGACTATTCGATTAAAAGCTCTAAAAATTTGTATAAAATCTTCGAAAACGATAGGTTGCCCTATATACCACAGGTAGAATTCTAAAATTTCGTTTGGGTTTTCTGACCCATTTGAAATATTTTCAGAAATTCGATTTCTTTTGTTCTCTCTGTTGAAAAAAGTTTACAAAAAACATCCCTTCTGAATCATTCAGGAACTTCAAAAAATCTTCTTTCTCAGAAGATTTGACTTGTTTTTAAATTTGTTCCCATTAGGGCATTTCCGAGCCTCTATGGCGGTCACTTCTTTACACAAACACCAGTTTCTTAAGCCATATCTCGCTTACATATATCTTCAAATTTCAAACTTGTTAAATGTGTTTTTATAGAGTGTTATGTGCGTATTAAATTCGTTATAGTTTGCAATGTTCTAAATTTTCAATAGGTCCACACTCCATTTGCCCGGCTACTCAATCATTTGGGGTATGTGTGAATGTGCATTTTTTTTCTTTTCCGTCCAGCTACACAGATAACGACATATGGCCCTGTTGTACATGGCATTCGGCGGCATGGCATGCATGCAAGTCTCGTAGTTTCCTTTACTCCTCTGTGGATCTGGGAGTCGTTAAGATGTTGACGGGCTATCGCGTTATGCGCCGTTGTATTCGATTGCACTACAAGTGTCACAAGTTAAGAGTGATCTACATGAGTATGGTCGATTAGA